CTGACTATTTTCTAGTAGTGTTTCCAGTTTGTAAACCTTAATACCCTTTAATAAATCATATTTATTTCTAGCAAAGCCTCCAGACTTTTTGGGTTTGTTCAACAGGGGCAAGCCTAGGGGCCACATTGGAGGTTTCAGCGATTCTGAATTGGGGGCTGGGTGGGCAGAAAATGTCAGAATAAGCCAAAACCGGTTTGGCTCAGTGGTAGAGCTTCGGTCTGCGGACTGAAGGGTCTCCGAGTTCGATTCCGGTCAAGGGCATGTACCTTGGTTGCGGGCACATCCCCAGTAGGGGGTGTGCAAGAGGCAACTGGTCGATGTTTCTCTCTCATCGATGTTTCTAGCTCTCTATCTCTCTCCCTTATTCTCTGTAAAAAATCAATAAAATTTATTTTTTTTTTAAAAAGAAAATCTCAGAATAAGAGTGAATTTATTAGGCCAAACTCTTCTTTTCAATCTCAGCCTCACCTTATCAGTTCTAGGGATAATACATTTGCTTTTCTTTTTTTAAGTGTTTGGGTATAAGTGCTCTTTTAAAATATCCTGTGAAAGTGTGGACCTTGTTATTTAAAAAACACCCATTCTTGAGTCCATACCATTCTGCTTTGCCTTTGTCAATGAGGTTTCTTTAATCCCCACCTCATTGGAGGACCACATTTCATCCAAGTTCACATTCCATGGCAAAAGTGTGCTGGTGGCCACCATCCAAGCAACAAGGAGAAAATTCTGAGATGTCCTAAATTAAATTACAGCAGGTCAGAGGGTGAAAGGAAGAGATATGAGCAGATACTCAGTTAAAAAGTACATGGAAAGCCCAGCCGTGTGGTTCAGTGGTTGAGCATTGACCTATGAACCAGGAGGTCACGGTTCGATTCCTGGTCAGGGCACATGCCTGGATTGTGGGCTCAATCCCCAGTGTGGAAAGTGCAGGAGGCAGCCAATCAATGATTCTCTCTCATCGATGTTTCCACCTCTCCCTTTCTATGGGAACCATGCCAGGTTCCTGGATAGTCAAGGCCAGTGGGAACATAGAGGCCTTGTTATCAATACACCAGAATGGCCACAAGCTGCTCTGGGCATGTACTTAAATGGGAAGTTCAAGGTCTCTGAGCCTGGAAATACTAATCAGGCCAAGATACCACAGGTGCAAGGACACATGGTATGCTGTACCCTTCTGTAACCAAAATATGATTGATGTCACTGTTGGCAACTAGCCTTCTTTGTCTCTGGAGTAATATATACAGGTTGCTGACCGGAGTCTGCTAGACAGAGCAGAGAGCAGCAGCAGAGCAGAGGCCAGAAAGCTCAGAGAAGCAGCGGCAGTAGACACAGAGAATGTGTGCAGGAGAAGCTACAGAGTTCAAACAGAGCTGAGAGCTGATACTGCTACAATGTAAGGCTAAGAGCTCATAGAGAGCTCAGCTATAGCTACCATGTTCCGGGCAGGGGAGACAGGAGTAGCTGCTGAGCCAGAGAGGTTTCTGAGGCTGTAGCTCTAAAGGAGAGCGTAGGTGCCGCTATAATGTGAAGTGGTGAGTCTGGTGCAGCATGCAACTGCTCAGACAAGGACTGTGGGTACAGGGATCAATACTACTATGTGAGAAAGATATGTATTCACCAGCCGGCGCCTGTAAAGGACTGTCTTGTCTGATGGCCATGCATTAGACTCATTCTTACCAGTATATACTCACAACTTCTCATGAGTCTGCCCCGCTACAGAGAATTGACCTCTGTCTCTGTGAGCAGAAGATAAAGGAGGAACTTGGACTAAGTTCCCAACAGTTAGTACAGTGGGCAGGGATCGAGAGGAACCTGCCCTGACATAGCTGAATGGGAGAAGTTAGGAGAATACATGGACCCAGAACAACTCAGAGCACCATCTGGCTGCGCTCTGACACTCTCCCTCTCCCTTCTCTGAAATCAATAAAAAAATATATACATTTTTAAAAAATTTGTTTTGTTAATCCTTGCCCAAGGATATTTTCCCATTGATTTTTAGGTAGAGTGGACGAGACAGGGAAAAACAGAGAGAAACATTGATGTGAGAGAAACACATTGGTTGGTTGCCTCCTGCATAATTGATTGCTCCTCTGGGGAGAAGCCTGCAACCGAGGTACGTGCCCTGGACCAGAAATGAACCCAGGACCCTTCAGTCTACAGGCCAACATTCTATCCACTGATCCACTGAGCAACACTGGCCAGGGTGCATATATATATTACATTAAAGTACATAGAAAGATGACAATTGAAACTGTGGGACTGGGTGAAAAAGATGAAGGGATTAAGTACAAATTGGTAGTTACAAAATAGTCATGGAGATGTAAAGTACAGCATAGGGAATATTGTCAACTATATATATGCAAATAGACTGAATGGCGGAACAATGGAATAGCCAGTCACTATGACATGTGCTGACCACCAGAGGGTGCACGGAACATGGCAGGTGTTGGCAGCAGGCAGCAGAGTGTAGAACATGTCCAGAGTCGGCCATGGTGGGATGGTGGAGCAGGTGAGCCAGGGAGCCAGACCAAGATGGGGCACCGGTAGTTGTCATCTGGGTGAGCCTTTGGTGGTTACTGAAAATTCTTTGCTCCCGCATGCCCCGTCCCATCTGGAGCTCAACGCTAGGAGCCCGGCCCCAGCCCCAAACACTCAGCACCATCAGTGGGTACGAGCAGCAGCTGCCAACCCCAATCACCCCTAAACGCTTCTCCATCCCCCCCCTGCTCCTGAGGGGCAATCAGGGCAGCAGCTGCTGCTTGCACCCACTGACAGTGCTGGCCCTGCTCCCACCTGCTGCTGGTACCAGTCCCAATCATTCTGCATCAGCGGGTGCGAGTGGGGCCAGCACCATCAGCATGTGGGAACGGTGGCGGTGGGAGCAGGGCTACCAGAACACAGGGCTGTATTGTAATAACTATGGAACCAGGTAAGTACTGAAAATATTGGGGGGAACATTTTGTAAAGTATATGATTGTCTAACCATTATGTTGTATATCTGAAACTAATAAAAATAATATAGACTATAAACTGTAATTGAAAAATAAATTTAAAAAAACACTGCAGGACAAACCCAACAAAAGACTATTTGTGTCATTCCTGAATGTATGTTGAATATTTGAATTAATTTCCAGGCGGCTATTTCCTCCATTAACTAAAGAGAATAGCCAGACACCACCGACCAGCATGCATGCCAGCTTTTTGCTTACACATGAACTTTGGATTCTTGCCCACCACCAATCCAAAGGAGCAAAAACGTTTTCCTTAAGGACTGTGAACCTCTCACAGAACTAGCCCTGCTTCATTTTCTCCCATTCCGTCCATCTGTAGCTAATGTAAACATTTTTTTCAAAACAACTTACCCATTTCTTCCCCAAACTTCAACAAAGCATCCATCAAACCCAGGATAGAGGGCATGTTTGTTGTTTCCACCCAGCAATGCTTCTGCTAGTTCGGTCTGTATGCAACAGGACCTAGTCCTTTCTAGCTAGCATTTTGGCCACATAAACCGTTCCTTCATAAAAGCTTTCAGCTGTGAAAATGTTTTGTTTAACAGGAGCACCATTGCATTCTCAGTTTTATCCCTAGTACCAGCAGAGGGCAAGACTTATAGGAAGACAAGACCTCAGGGCCTGCCAAAACCCTGGGGGAAGAGCAGAACTACCAGGGGAAAGCACTGGCTTCTATACAGACTTTGCAGAGAAGAGGCACGTTTAAAAGACTACAACTTCTCTCTAGCTGGTTTGGCTTAGTCGATAGAGCGTTGGTCTGCAGACCAAAGGGTCCCAGGTTCCATTCAAGTCAAGGGCACATGCCCAGGTTGAGGGCTTGTCCCTAGTAGGGGGCTTGCAAGAGGCAGCCAATCAATGATTCTCATCATTGATATTTCTATCCCTCTCTCCCTCTTCCTTCCTCTCTGAAATCAATAAAAATATATTTAAAAATAAAAATAAAATAAAAACACTACAACTTCAGGATACCTCCTTTTTTTGTAATTTAAGGAAGATGTGACTAGTTCATATATATATAATTGATTAGAGAGAGGAAGGGAGAGGGAGAGATAGAAACATCAATGATGAGATAGAATCAGTGATCAGCTTCCTCCTGCACATTCCCTACTGGGGATTGAGCCTGTAACCCAGGCATGTGCCTTGATCCTGAATCCAACCGTGATTTCCTGGTCCATAGGTCGATGCTCAACCACTGAACCATAGCAGCCGGAAAAGTTACCTAATTATTTAATCTAACATTGGACTCTCCCTTTTCCACATTATAGCATTGGCTCCCCCACCCCCAACCCAACAAGGTATTGAGGTTTACCATGTCTACATGCCATTCCGCCAATGGCTATATCTTAGTTTACCTGGCGACTTCCTTCATGCTCAACTGTTCC